AAAATTCTAAAAATATTCGGTTAATTCGAAAATTAACCAAATTAACCGAAATTTATTCGGTTCGGTTAATATTTTTAAAAAAAAATTCAATTTGGTTAATGGTTTAAAAAAAAAATCGATTAATTCAAAAATGGTAGTTCGGTCGGTTCAACTAACGAATTAACCGAATGAATACCCCTATGGACAGCAGGAAGAGTGTGGTCCAAAAATCACAACATGTCTTTTCATATACATTCATATTATATGTCCTTATACCGTTTTCTAATTTGGTGAAATACTTAAAAATATCAAACAAAAGCTTATACAATTTAACATCATACAAATAATCAAATCCGACAAAAGATTTGGAATATATTGTTTGACATGCAATTAAGGGTAAACTACCTATTTGGTCATCTGTTTATTATTTAGATTTTATTTTGATATTCAACCTATTATTTTTATCAAAAGTATACCTTACGTTATGTTTTGATTTTGTTTGGGTCATCCACTGTTAAAAAATTAACGATGATACTGATGTTACATCATTTTATGGTAACGCATCAGCATTACCATTAATTTTTAGGCAAACTATGTGTTTAGTCATCCACCAATTCTAGCGGTTTCATTTTGGTCACCCAACTTTTTTTTCTCAAAATCATACCTAACATTATGTTTTCGTCGCTTGTTGTTAAAAAATTAACAGTGATGATGACATATCACCATTAGGTAATGTCACATCATCATCGGATAAAAATAAAATAATTCTCACCTTAGTACTTCTATTTTTTTAACAACGGGTGACCAAAATGTAGCTTTATATACAGTTAAACAATGAGTGACCAAAACAGATTCAAAACGTGATATTGTGTATGATTTTGAAGAAAAATAATTGTTGGATGACGAAAACGAACACTAAATAATAAATGGGTGGCCAAATAGATAGTTTACCCTACAATTAATTTAATTACCATGGGATCCATCACAGCCATGATCTTAAATTAAAAAATATCTTATATCAACAACTATTTTGTAATTAAAAAACAATCAAATTAAAATTTAATATATATATATAAATTAATAATATAAATTTAGAAAAGGTTTATGTTTATTTTTGATATTATCTCATTGTCAATACAATATATAAAATATTTGTGTTGATACAGTTACGATTCTAAAATCTTAATTGTTTAATTTTGTGTAACGTCATATATAAAAAATTGTGTATAAATTCTTAATTTAGATTTATTTTAACATAAATTATATATTTATATATGATTTGAAATTGTAATTGTAATTGTAATTATAATTTATAATATATATATATAAATTTGTTTTATTGAAACGATTTGGGGCAATCTTTTGTTCAGCAAAGAGGAAGATGAAAAAGAAAAAGTAATGGATAAAACAGTATTTTTCATTTGATAGGCAAAATGTAACATGGAATAGGTTAACTAATTATGTAATTATCATTTGTCATAATGGTTTTTAGGGTCGACTTGATGAGTTTTTGAAAATAATTGTAAAAATAAGAAAGTTATCATCAATTATTTTTAAGGTGAGATTGAAACATTTAAATTTTTTAACGGTAGATTATTAAAATAAATAAAAAAACGTTAGTTATAATTACTAAATGTATAATAATAATATGCCGGCCTATACAAGAAATAAAGTCCCCTCTATCGGTATAATTTATTAGGGTTGCTCCCTAACAATCTATTTATTTATTTTTAAATAATAAATGTTTGAAATTTGATATTAGTTAAAGTTTTATTTTAATGCTTTTATTATTAAAAGTGTAATTAATAAATAGTAGTAAACAAATTTATCTAAATTGAAGTATTAAAAATAATATATATAAAATATGGTTTTAATAATTCTGAAACGAAAAAAATAAGGTGTCACCTCAAGAGGAAACAAAGGTCCATTTAAAAGGAAAACAATAATAGAGGCAGCCGCCCCCACACACCTTCCACCTAACCCTTTTCTTTTTTCTAAACTTACAATTCGTTCCATTGCAGAATTTCCGCTGGAGAGCGGAACGTGGCGCATCATGAGGAATCCGCCTTGTCTTTTTAAATCATGGCGGTAGGGGTCCCACCGGAAACCAAACAGCTTTTAAACTAAACACGCCGACCTCTCTCCCTTAATATTGAAATACAGAAATGATACCGTTCTTTTATTGAGTTTTTAATTATTTAAAGTTATAATATGATATTTTAGTTATAAGATATTATTTTTGTTAAATCATTTAATTATTAAATGTTACAAAAAGATAATTTTATTATTTATATGTTTTAAATTTATAATTTTATGTTAAAAAACTAATAGTATTTTGAGTTAGACATTAATTTATTAATTAAGATATGATAAAATATAATTTTAAATTGTTTGAATTACTTTTTTTGTGGATCAATTTTTTATTTACGTTATATTGTAGAGATAGTTCTTGAAATATTATGTTATCAAGTCAGTGTTGAAATCAACGTTGGTGTTAGTAGACATAATTAAACATAATTTATCATATTTAAGTTAACATGTTAACATTCAACTCAGACGATTATCATTTTTTTAACAAAAAAAAAAGTTTAAAACATATTAATAGTCAAGTAATTATTTTATAATTTTTAATAATATAAGACTCAATAAAACATCGTCCTATAATCAATAAAATATTTTATAACTTTTAATAAAATAATATGATAAAATTAAATACCATTTGAATAATTTATCCTTCAAAAATGCCCATCACATAACATAAGCTCGAGATCTACACTCCGTATTTTATTGTTCAACAAGACACTAATTAATGCTTTTAATAAAAAGTTTAAAATATTAAATTAAATTATAATTAATTAAGTGACAATTACGAAGGAGTGAGCCGTATCGGTAATGTACAAAATATTGTGGTATAGCAATAATAATAGGATAATGAAAAACAACGCTATCGGTTAATGATTTAATAAAAAATATATATAAATTAAGAGAGCGAAATAAATATTTGAGAGTAGGGAAAAATAAAGACAAATAGGATTATGATGAGACCCACCAAAAGCAGCAGCCGCGCATTCAACTGAACTCCACTTCCAACGCCCGCCTTCACGTGGGACCCAGTTTTGTCTCCTTTATCTCATTGTTTTCGCGTAAAATGAAATACATTTTTGTGGAATAAATAAAGACAAATAGAATAATGATAAGAAACACAAACACACGGAAAGATCGGACGGCCGTATAACACGTGCAGTTCCGACACGAATCTCGATAAATACCGCTCAGTCAACATGCGGAATTTCACCTTTCGGTATCCTAACTAAAATCCCGCTCCCTCACGCGCCACTTGTTTTCATCTCTGTCAGGGACCCGCTACCCAACTCATTTCAAGCCTTGCCATCTGTCCTCGCCTCTCATTCGGACCTTTAATTATTAATTTTGTGATAGCTTAACCATTTGATGATACCTCACATTTCTACATTTTTACTTCATTAGATTAAAATAATTACGTTTTAGTATTTTTTTTGAACATTTAAATCATCTATTGTGAATATTTTTATTATTAATTTATTAACTCGTGTTAATTTAATGAAGTGTCGTGTTAGATAAAATGAGTTAATTTTTAATTTAATTATTGAATTTTAGATAAAATATTAATTTAACTGTAAACTTTAGATAAAATATCAATTTGATCATTGAATTTAATAAAAGTCTCTTTATCGATCACAACCAGACGGCACCAATCATCGTCTTCATCAACCACTGAATTGAACCCTAAATTTACAATCCATATTTTGGCCTTCTTAACATAATTCTAAATTTAGTACCTATATTATTATTTTTATTTCATTTTAATTATCAAACTTTATTTTTTTTTCAAAACCATACGTAACGTTTACTTTAGGTTTTAATGTGGTGCCTCATTGTTAAAAATTAACAGAATATTGATATGACATTTTTCAATTATGTGACTATTATCTTATAGTGATACGTCAACATCACTGTTAAATTTTTAATAACATATCTTTATCTTATGATATATATTCATTAAAATGTATATATATTTTACTATTATATAAATTTAATTTTTTTTCTTTTAAAAGAATATTAATGATAAATTTATTATCATGTTTTGATTTAAAAGAAATTTAAAGATTTTATGATAGATTTGTGAATTTTGGGATAATTTTTTATGAAACGTATATTGAATTCGTGTTAAAAGAGACACAAATAATGAAGTGAATTAGAAAATTCAATGATGAAATAGATATTTATCTAATTTTTAGAATGTCAAATTAACTTTTTATATAAAATAAAAAAACTAAATTATAAATTAATTCATTTTATTAATATTTAATCAAAGTAATATTAATTAACGTCTTAATAATCAAACAAACATCATTTACCATCCCAATGACCAGAATATTATACATTAATAATATAAACTAATATCATGCATGAATAACGCAAGAGAGTAATTGCAAAGAAGAAAATCTAAAAGGAATTATAGCGAATCTCTTTTGATTATATATATTTTCAGGCTTAGCCAATCACATGAAAAAGTATCGGCCCCTGGTTTTGGGACAAATACTGCGTTGGGAAATATTAGTTAATATATATATTTCATCTCTCCTAAAATTGCAATTTACATTACCCATATTTGTTTTTTTCTGAACAAGGAAGTTACAATACAAATTAAGGAAGTTGATACTAAATCAATTCAGCCACCAACATAAAATTAAATAATAATTATCGTAATTATATTATTTCAATAGATAAGCACTGCCGGAATTATTTTTCCAGATTCCGGCCATCGTAATATTTTTTTTTTCATAAAATTGAAGGGAACTTTTTTAGTGCTTAATTCTTTGGAAATTTTAAAAAATTAACAGTAACTACTGATGAAACAGCGGAGAAGATGAAGTGTATCTGCTGCAAAAAAGGGTAGTTCTTCAGCTAAACTATACATATAATCTGATAGATCACATCAAATATGCCGTAATTTTATCTCTTTTTTGGGTCTCATTTTCTCTAATCTACCTTCGATTCAACGGAAGGAAAATATAAAAAAAAATCTAGCTTTTTCACGTTGGACGATCGGCGAGAACGAAAAAAAATCAGGCGATTTCCGGAAGAGCGGGCTGGTTGAGATCGATATTCAGAATGGGGGGCGACTTCACCTCGTGGTGGTTCAAATCGACGACGGATGATGAATCGGAGTCGCTCTGTACGCCGACGTTAATTTTCGACATGTGGAAATCATGATGATCGAATTTCAGGCGTTGAAACTGATGGCAATTGGGCCGAACGAAAGGATCAAAGTAGAAGACTTTGCGCCCGGCGATATACGGCACTAGCGAAGCTTGCTGGAAAGGAAACCGAACAGCCGTGGGAGCGTAGCCGGTGACCGTCTCACCTTGAACGAGGTTGAGATCCAACGGCGAAGAACAGATAACGAGTGCCGGCTCACGGCTCGATGATTCCACGGTGCTACTCTGGCTAGGGCTACGGTTGTTGTTTATGTAATTACCGTTACTTTTACTGTCATTCCCTTTGATTAGATTTTCACAAGGGACGGGAAAATTAATCTTAGCCTTTGAGCCCCGGAATTCCCGGGCAGCAGCGTCGTAGGCCCTGGCCGCTTCCTCAGCCGTATCAAAAGTCCCTAGCCAAACACGGCTCTTCTTCCCCGGATCTCTGATCTCGGCTGCGTAACGCCCCCATGGACGCTTCCTTACTCCTCTAAAATGAACCTCATTATTGTTATTATTCCCACCACCGCTGCCTCCTCCCTTGACCGCCGCCGTTTTATCCCTCGGTGCCATTTCAAAAAGGAAAAACGATGCTTTTGTTTATGGAGATTTTGTGTGGGGTTGAGAGAGAAACGGACGGCCAAGTTATTCGTAATTTATAGATAGGAAAGTGTGGAATTGGCGAGGAATTAGAAACAGACCCGGTCAACGAGGGATTTGACTGAAGAGGGGCAGCTTTGTAGAATATAATTGAGAAGGTAGCACTTTCGTTAATTAACGAATCCGTATTACGTGCCACGTTGGTTTATCTTTGAACACATCATTAACGGCTCTTAGTATAACATTGTTGATATCGTGCAGTGGGTTTGGTGTTCTCCATCTCACTCTCCTTTCCATCGCGTCCTTTCACACACTTTTTTATAAAAGGCAAAATAATAAGATTCATACAAAGAATCACTTTACTTTACATTCTTTTGTAAATTATTTTATTTTTTTTAATATTTTATTAAATAAAAAATATTAATTAATTAATAATAAATATATTTTATTGATATAATATTTTAACTTTTACTTAATTAATAATGTGATGTGTCATATTATTATTTTAGTCATATAATATGTATATAGCATCACTTTAAATTATATAATACATATATTGTCATTAATTAAATACATGTAAAATATTATTATATCAATTAAATATAAATAATTATATCATATCATTATTTTAAATGATGTGATACATATCATACAATTAAATAATATATATAAAAATATTAGTTCAATAATACATATATAAAAATAACATGTCAATAATATTTATTGATTATTAATTAGTTAATGATTTTTATTTAATATACATTATTATGAAAGTGGGAAGTGGTGCGCGTGTGGTAGTGGTGTGAAGTGGTAAATATGAAAGTGGGATTTTTGAAGAAAAAAAGCTGTCGGCATATTCTGCTATCTCGCCGCGTGACATTGGTTTATGAATACGAGAAATGGGGGGGCTAGTGGCCGGACAGAGCTCCTTTTGAAGCGCTCGCTTGGACCAAACAGGTGATTTGTGAATGCATCCAATCAATTGCCGCCACGTCAGATTTGTTCCTAACCGCGTGTTGATTGGAACGTAGAAAAGGTGCTCTCACTCGAACGCCTGCTGCCCACATGATTAATTTCGGACGTGTAGTATCATTTCAGCCGACAGCTCCTTTCCTCACTGTGGTTAGTTATTACGTGAATCACACGCTCTGTTCTTTCACAATTACTCCACTACCCTTGCTCCTTTTTTTCTGTTTTAGTAAGTAGTTTCCCATTTTCACACACGCTCCAAGTAAAATCACATCATTAGAAATTAAAATATATGTATTAACAACCAAGAGTTAAAAAGCTTAATAGATTATTGACTGATTTGTATTACTTTTTTGTTTCTCAACATGGTGTTATTTTTTCTAGAAATTTTTTTTTTCTTTTTTTTTTGTTACGAAGACTAGGGGAAGGCAGCCACCAATTTTCAGCTGCCGGCTGTTGGGAGGGCGGCCCCACACCTTTGAAATTAAAATCAGTATTTTGAAAATCAGACTGGACCTGTCGGTTTAATTTGAAATCGTTGTCTGGTCCGGTTCATTCTATACCGGTTAAACAGTTACTAGTGAACCGGAAAGAACCGTTGAACCGAATGTGAACTGTTCGAACCAGACCGTGAACCGTTTGAAAACCGATTCTGTTTTTTTTTTTAAAAATAAATTAAACGACGTCGTTTGTTAAACGAGCAAAGTCGAACTCGAGTATTGCTGAACTCGACTCGAACTCAAAAACTTTAAAAGTAAGCTCAACTCGACTCAAAAACTCACGAGCTAAAAATTATCAAGTTCAACTCGAACTCGAAATATAATATTAAAACTTGAACTAAAAAAAGCTCAAACTAAAAAAAAATAGAAGCTCGATTGAAGCCTGAAATTCGAGCTCGATTGAAGCGAAAGAATAGTTCGCTATGTACTCACCAAAATACTCCATGATTTTGAATGTCAAATTACATCTATTATTTATAAAGTCTGTTGGGATGTTTTTCTATGTTTCCTAGCCATGTGAGATTGTTTTGTTTTCATATTTTTATTTTTTAGATTTTTATGATGTTCTTCTATGTTTCTTAGCCATGTGAGATTTTTTTTAAAAAAAATTAAACCAAACGACATCGTTTGTTATGAATTTTTTAGCCCCAAATTTATTTTTTAATTATAGTTATATAATTATATTTATTATTTAATATGTTTTACCTTAAATGTTATGTTGTAGTTGATTTGAATAATTTTGTTTCATTTGATTTTATGGTTTTTAACTTATATATGTTATAACTTGCTTTGAATATTACTTGTGATATAAAAAACTATTTTTATCAAATGTTTTTTTTGTTTTTTTTATTTTTTTAAATAATTAAATAATTATGATGTCGTCCGGTTGAATCAGTGAACCGATAACATGACCGATTCGCTGACCGATCCGATTTCGAAACCATGATTAAAACCATCTTCTTCAAAATCTCATTTTCTTTATATCCACAATTTAGTTTTTTTTATTCATATATACTCAATAAATATTATTTTGACAAAAAGACACATGTGATCCTTGTACTTTTTAAAATGTTTAATATACATTCTTATTATTATTTTATTTAATGTGATCATTCAACTTAAAAAATAGAATTAATATCATCTTATGATCTATATTTTTATTCGTTAACTATTACGGTGTTGAATTGATTATTCACGATGATTGATGACATTATGGACTTATTTATTTTTTTTAAATAAAATTATTTTAAATTTTAAATATAAAATATAAAATATTAAAAATATTTAAAAATAAATATAAAAAAGTAAAAGTAAAAATTAAATTATTAAATATATATACATTAAAATAGTAAAACTATAATAAAAATTGAATATATATCATAAACTATAAAATGATAATTACAAATTATTAAAAAACAATTTTTTTTAAATATATTATATATAATATATACATATAATATACAGTTATATCATCAATATTTATACACCATAAGATAGGAATAATATGGCTTTGTAAAGAGATTATTTATTATTATTAATAATAATAAATAATGAAAAAATTGAAATTGATAAAAAAAAAATTGCATGAATCACGTTGACTCAATACAACAGCTGGCCCTTTTACTTTGCGTCTATTCCGAGTTTGGTTGTATAAACAGCTGGCCATCACCATAAAAAAGGGTAAACGTCCAATAGAGTTACTTTAGTTTAGGATGTTTACATTTACGTCACTATATTTTTAGAACTTACAGCACAGTCACTAAAATTATAGTTCACTTTTATTATAGTCAATTCCGTCAGCTAATGTTAAGAAATACCGATATGGCGCGTTAAAGTCATATTTTCCAACATAAACCCTGAAGTCTAAAACTATAAAATATCATTATGACTTGACATAATATTAGTTGCAACTCAGTAATCCATTCTATTTCTTCATGATCAGACAATAGATGAAACTTGAAATGACATTGAAACAAATAGCTTGAATTCTCAGAGACCTTCAGAGCTCCTTAATAGGGTATTTGAAAAAATAGCATAAACATGGGGAAGTATTACATGGAGGAAAGACGTTATCGTTTTGTTATTATTATTTTAACAAAACCGGTAAAAATTTACCAAAAATATCATTATTTCTACCAGTGTTGTTATTATTGGGCGCTTTACCGGTTTTGGTTATATATCTAGTATAAAAAATAATGTTTTAGGTAGCGTTTTACCGGATATATTACCAAACTCGGTAAAGCGCCTAATAATAACAAAACCGGTAAAAATAATAATGTTTTAAGTAATTTTTTACAGCTTTTGTTAAAAAATAATAATAAAACCGATAACTCATTTTTCTTAGCTGTATATTAAGGTTAGTGTATGATAGAACTTCCCCCATGAACATAGATTATTATAAAATTCACAACCCATCATATCCTGATTGGCTCGTTCTTTATGCGATTTTGTAGGGGTTCTTTATGGTGGAAAATGTATGGAAAGCCATAGGGATCGATTAGCTTGTACCTGATAGCCTTGCTACTTCAATGGTGGATGATATGTTTTATGCGTTGCAAAGCTACTTGCGAGGAGCTATTTCTAACTTTAAATATTAGTACTGAAGTTGTCATAATGAGTGGTGTTAGTAGCTTGTTAAATAATGAATACAACAAAGCCTTGCAACTAATATTAAGAGAGTTGGATGTTGAATGTACATTATTGATTTTTCAACATTGTTGTTAATTTGAAACACATTGTTTGTTTCTTTCTAGTGTAAGGAGATGCTTAAATTTAGAGGCATAGCATAATCTGGATTGGATACTGTAGAGATAAATGTCACATTTCTAACTTAATTTGTTTCGGTACAAATGCTAAGATTTGAACTCTGTTAGTATTTAAAGAATCTAATGTCTTATCCCACTAAACCAACTAATTGTTGGTATGTAGGATGCTTCTTTTGTCCTTGAGTTAACTTCTCTTAACCTCTTTATTCTAATGATGGACGTTAGAAAATAACAATGACGATAAAAAGAATGTTTTAGAAGACTAATTGTTTTTAACGTCTGCAGACTGTTAAAATGAACTGAAATATAAATAAATTAATTTTTTAAACTTAAAAGAGTTTTGCAATACTGATATTTAAATAATTTTAGTGTTACAATACTGAAATTTAAATAATCCATACAACTACAATAATAAATTATTTAAAATAAATCAATCCATATTTTAAAATAAATCAATTCATACTAATAAGTTATTTAAAATAAATCAATCCATACAACTATAATAATAAATCAATCCATATTTTAAAATAAATCAATCCATACTAATAAATTATTTAAAATAAATCAATCTATCCAACTACAATAATAAATCAATCCATATTTTAAAATAAATCAATCCATACTAATAAATTATTTAAAATAAATCAATCCATATTTTAAAATAAATCAATCCATGCTAATAAATTATTTAAAATAAATCAATCCATACAACTACAATAATAAATCAATCCATATTTTAAAATAAATCAATCCATACTAATAAATTATTTAAAATAAATCAATCCATATTTTAAAATAAATCAATCCATGCTAATAAATTATTTAAAATAAATCAATCCATATTTTAAAATAAATCAATCCATACTAATAAATTATTTAAAATAAATTATTTTAAAATAAATCAATCCATATTTTATAATAGTTTATTTTAAAATAAATTATTTTAAAATAAATCAATCCATATTTTATAATAAATTATTTTAAAATAAATTATTTTATAATAAATTATTTTAAAATAAATTATTTTAAAATAAATAACCTTATTAAATTATTTAAAATTATTTTAATAAATAACCATATTTTATAATTGTTCTTGAAGAGGTTTAAAGACTTTTGAAGACATAAAATCATGCCTGCACCAAGAAGAGCTCGCGCAGACGTTAGAAGAGCTTCTGTCTTCTAAAAAACAAATGGTATGCGAAGCCTAATGTCTACGCGTGGTCTGCGCGACGCATATATAAAAGGTTTGAAGAGATTGCACAGTGAAAACAAACTAAGCCTTAGTGTGACACATGACTTTTTCATAACACAAATTTTGAATCAGATGACGTGTTTCACTATTATAAAGTTCAATCATAAATTAAATATCTTTTTTAAAATATCAAAATGATAATAAAATATATTTTTTTCATTAATTTGAGGTAGTTATAAGATAGTGTTTGTTCGAAAGACTCAAATATTTGATAATAGAAAACATCATATTCGAACTCGAGACCTTTAAGAATAACAATGATCTCTTAACACTGATGTCGTTTGGTTCGTGAATAAAATACAACTTCAAATATCAAAGTAAAAAAGATTTGGATCCTCTCAATAATTCAATTTTAATCTTTTTTTTTTCAATTTTAGAGAATACAAATAGAATTTTATATAATTACATTTTTAAAACTAAATTTCTGTTAATTTACAGGACAAAAAAAATGTCTGTTTCCATGTTTTTTTTAAAAAAATCCCCAAGTCGTTGTGTATCTCATTTTTGTGAAATTTCAAAAGTCAACAAAAGGGTGTGAATGAAATTGCTCACCACAAAAGTCGAAGATACAATTTGTATGTATTAGGCCAATTAATTCTAAAATTTTCTACTTGGACTCCAAGCAAAATAAACAACACAACAACTGTTTGACATAAATTTCTATTGATTTTCAGACAGTATGATTGTCAAAACTCAAGGCCAGATTATAGTTTTGGTTTGACAAACAGGTTTCATTCTACAAGCATTTGGGGTGTTAGTTGTTACAATGCCTTTTTGTGTTCATATTTATTCACTTGTGAAAGTGATCGGTTCAATAAATCTATCAAGTGGTCTCAATAGTTAAGAGGAATGTTATTTTTTTAGAGGTTATTAGTTTGAGCAGTTGTGTATTCAATGTGTGCTCGCGTTGTCAATGGTTAAGAAAAATTATGAATAAATATTATCTTGCAATCATTTCAGACTATTAAAAAAAGTGGATGATGACATAAAATAGGGTTTTATGGCGATTTACACTGCGATTGTGATCATATTTTTAGTTATGTTGCGTTTATCGTGATTGTGGATATAACATGTACTATTGTGATAATTACATGTATCGTGATCATACAATAACAATTTCGAATAACGGTACTATTATTATATTACGACTGTATTCTGATTACCAACCTGTTTAAATGCATGGGGTTTTCATTAAGTCGTAGGTTTAGTAAAAAAATCGAGCATTTCATACACCAACTCAACGCTGAATTCCAAGTTTGCTTTAAGTTCCAAAACCAGACCATGTTCTGCGGTTGTTTCTTTCGAACATGTATTGGGGTTTGTATGGTCTGTTATCTCACCCAGTGTCCAAAATCAGCAGCTATATTCACTAAGAATTGCAACATGTAAAAGATATCTATTGTTTTTCTCAAGGTATAATACCAAAATAGCCGTTTATTAAAATATTTATTTTGATTTATATTTTTTTATTTAGAATATTTTAGTCTTCATATTTTATTTTGAGTAAAAAGACATCACTGTAGATGAAAATCGTTAGTTAACAAATAATTAATTCTCTAAAATATGAGCATTTTTCTTTTAAAATAAAATATTGGGAGTGAAAATGCTTTAGAAAAAAAGGGTCAAAGTGACTATTTAAACAAATATTAGTACTTTTTTTGTCCTCAAATGACATGTCGAGGGCGAAAATGCTAAAAATAAAAATTGAAATGACAAATTTGAAAAATGTTGGAGGCTGATATTGGCATTATGCATATTTTAACTAATTAAACCTCTAAATTTATTTTAAAAGTTGAATTATTTTTTATTTATAAATTATTCAAATATTATTGGATCAAGATCATAATATAAGACTAAATTAGCTTTTATTATTCAACCGACATCTAAATTCATAAAATATCCAGATTAAAAATTTTAAATAATGTTTTTTATAAATTTAAATAATATGTTGAATATTTGAATATGTACGAATAAAAAATCCTAATTTATTAAAGGTTTGTTGATCAAGATTTAAATCCCTTAAAAAAGTAAACATATTCTCCTTTTTATATCATAAAGGCTGATTCAAATATCTAAATTCACATCCACATAAATAATACAAATCCATCTTTGTCAAAAAAAAATCATATAATAAATATATAATAATATCAACCCTCATCTACATTGAATAATAATTTTGATATCTAAATCTGCAAATTATTCAAAGTTTAAAACAAATAGATAAAATATTCATGCACATCTAAACTCACCATCTAAATTGAAATATCTTAATCCAACAACTCCTATTCCAGAAAACCGGCGAGAGAGTTCATAAATCATAAATATAATCTCGTAAATAAAACATTTTTAATATAAGTTTAAATTTTGTTCCCTAATAAATTCGAAATCCTAACTCACTTAATCTAAAATTTTAGTAACCCAAAATCTAAATAAACCTAACTCGAAAGAATTTGAACATATAATAAACTTCAACACGAAAGAATCCGAACATATAAATGTTGAAATGTTGAGACTCCACAATACTTTAATAGGCTCATATAGTCCTTGAAAATCCACTAACAAACTAATTTTAAAAAACTAGCAAAAAGAGTGGTCTTGTGGAGAGCCACTGTGCTGAAAGCCGCGCGATATAGTGGAGATTGGTGGAGGTTTATGAATGTGGGAGGTGTAGAGGGGGAGAGAAGTTATTTTTTTTTGGGTATAATCATTCATATCCGATTCACTGATTATTTTAGATCGAATCAATACAAAATGTTCAAATGGCCCAAATTAAAAAGATTGAGAGTTGGAACATGAATGACCTGAAGAATTCTCACCAATAATCCCCACAAGAGCATGAACCATCTTTAAAATGGTGGTATCTGTTGATGTCTCTCAAAATGATTTCCCTGGAGACAATCTCACTAATGAATTTGAATGCAGTATGGCAATCAACGCACACTCTAAGATTCTTTTTCACTCTAACAGGAGCTCCTGCCGGGGTCACGATCAATCCGAAGGCTACTGCAAGTTTCTCACTGTGGTGGTATAGAAGCTTTTCCTTCTCACCGCGATCCACATCATGAAGATCGAACTCCACCTTCGAAACATAGCCAACTTTGCTCAAGCGCTCACTTAGCTCTTCGAGCTTAGCATAGATTTCTTCGCTCTGAACATGGCTTCGGTCTCCCGCTATGAAAGTGTGTATCTTGTCTTTAACCTCGATCCAACTAATCCCGGGTTCTTTCTTCACATTGCAGTCTTTCATGAGTTTTCTCATCTTTGCTACATTGTCCCACATTCCAACTGATGCATATATGTTAGCTAGAAGAACATGGGTACCGGATTTCTCCGGTTCAAGAATCAAAAGCTTCGCTGCAGCACGTTGGCCAATCTCGACATTCTTATGGATTCTAGCGGCACCGAGAAGTGCTCCCCAAACTGAGCCATCTGCTTGAAAAGGCATTGTATTAACAAGTTCCATTGCCTCCTCAAATCTCCTGGCTCGACCAAGTATGTCAATCATGCAAGCATAATGCTCTTGCATAGGTTCAAATCCAAACAGCTCCCTCATTGATCTGAAGTATTTTTGGGCTTCGGTAACCAAACCTGCATGATTACAAGCACAAAGGACACTGACCAAAGTTATCTGATTCGGAGAAACACCGGATTTAAGCATTTGATCAAACGCCTGTAGGGCTTCTTTCCCATGGCCATGTTGAGCTAATCCTCCTATCATTGCAGACCATGATACAATTCCTCTGTCGGGAATATTAGAGAACGCGCGTTCGGAGTCATCTATGCTTCCACATTTGGCATACATGTTGACAAGAGAATTTCCAGCAAAGATATCATATGTAAATCCATGCTTCAAGACGTGTACATGCACTTGTTTCCCTTGTTCATATGCCGATAAATTTGCGCATGCATTTAGGAGTGAACTACAAACATATGGATCCGGCTCTATCCCTCGATCTAGCATTTCTAAATACAGCTTAAGAGATTCTTCACCTTCACCTGCTTGAGAATAAGCTGAGATCATAGATGTGAAACCTACCAAATCTACCATCAAGCACTCTCTGAATATTCTTGTTGCATCTTCTAGAATGGTGCATTTTCCATATGCATCGATAAGGCTGTTTACAACGTAACGGTCGGATTCAAATCCTGTTTTCACAGAGAGTGCATGAACTTGTTTGCAGACATTGCTCGCCTGCAAGCTGGCAATAGATTTGAGGACTGTCGATAAAGTTGTCTGATTGAATCCAACTCCTTCCTTATGCACCAAAGGAAACAGAGATACAGCTTCCACGTCTTCCCCGTTTTGAGAATATGCAGAGATTACAGCATTACATGCAATTAAGTCCTTGTTCGGCATCAAATTAAAAACCATTCTTGCATCATTCATCAAACCACTCTTGGAATACATATCTATAAGTCCAACATCCACAAAAGAATCTGATCCTATATTCATCTTTATCAAATTAGAGTGCAGCTGTCTACCCAATTCCTTGAGACCAATGCCAGCACAAGCTTTTAGAGCACTTGACATGGTAAACAAATTCGGATACGTTCCTAACAGTCTCATTTGCCCAAAAAGGTCTAAAGCACAATCATGGTTATCGTGAAGAACACAACCAGCGATGACAGCATTCCAAGAAACGATATCAGGTTTTGTGATCTCCTCAAAAACGGCAACAGCATCCTCGAGAATTCCTATCTTTGCATACATGTCCACAAGTGCATTCTTCGAGAAAGGATCCGAATCATAACCAAGTTTTATCAAGAACCCGTGTATTTTACTTCCTTCACCACTATCCTCCAACCCAGTGCAGGCGTTTATCATGCTAGACAAACTAAATTCATTAGGCCTTATCCCACTCGAAACCATTTCATGAAACAACTCCACTGCTTCACCAAAGTAATCACTCTGTACATAACAAGAAAACAACGCATTCCAAGAGACTACACTCCTTTGAGGTATATCCTCAAATAGCCTCCTCGAATCGTCGAATCTCCAACACTTTGCATACAAAACAACCAAACTGTTACCCACATATTCATCGGAATCGAACCCGGTAACCACAGCAACGCCATGAACCTGTCTCCCCAACTCGAAATCCTTTGTAAAAGTACAAGCTTTAAGAACACTCGGAAAAGTGAACTCATTGCACTTAAGACCCAACAAATGCATCTCGTAAAAGGTGAAAATGGCTTCTTTAGCAAACCCATTCTGGGCATACCCAGAAATCAAAGCAGACCAAGAAACCAAGTCTGGTTCAGGACTTTGATCAACCAGTTTCCGGGCATAGCCAAAAAGTTTACATTTTGCATACAAATTGGTGAGAAAGTTGATAGTTTTAGGGTCCTTGATTGACCCAAATTTGAGTAAATGTGCATGGATTTGCATGCCTGGAGATAGGGTCTTGGTGGCATTGCATTTTGATAGAAGCTTAGAGTAGGGAACGGAGAAGGATGTGGAATTGGGGTGTTGGGTTAGTCTTGAAAAAGGGTATGATTTTCTGCCGTGGGTTGAGATTTGAACACACTGAGAAGAGGAAGTGAATGATTTAAAAACTGTGTTTGGTCCTTGGGGAAGAGGTTTACGGAATGGCAGGGAATTCAGGCAACGGATTTTCATCATCCATTTCTTCATTAACCTGTTTTTCACTTGAAAAACGCTATAAATCATGTTCACTTCCTTGTACGCCGTCGTTTTGCAACGGCTAGGCCTAGGACTAGATAATGATCGATAAAACAAAAAATTATCTAGGGTATTCAAACAGTTGGTTCGGTGACCGAACCGATTAAATTCTCTAAAACCAAATTAATTGATTTTTTCTTTAATCTTTTAATTTTTTTTAAAAATTCATTAACCGAATCCAACAAAATTTAGTTAATTAAGTCAATGATCAAATTAATTAAAAATTTTAATAATTTTTAATTAGATTAATTTAAGTTTACTGTACATATTTTCTTATTTGGATTAAAATTTAATTAGTTCTTGTCAATTTAATATGTGTATGGTTAAAAAATTGTTAAGTCTTAATTTTTAATTGGCTTGAAATGTGTATCTAACATATATAATATATTTAATATTTAATATTTCTGGTTAATTAATCGATTTTGAACTAAATTAATCGTTAACATAATATTAAAAAAAATCAATTGTTTCCAACCAAACTAAACTCGATTACCGACTTTTTAACTGAACTAATTCGGTTCGATCGATTAATTCGACTAATTTCAAAAAATCAACACCCCGAAGACCATGTCCACTACCTTTATAAAAAAAAAGTTCATATTCATCCACCATTCTTAAAATTTACAGTTATGGTCCAAAATCTTTTAAATATATCCTTTTCCGTTAAATTAATTGTTTTTCTTAAAAATTGTGATAAATAATATGTAATCTATAAATTTAATATTTAATTCCTCGACATTTAACGTCCACAAAAATAAAGTGATCAATATATATCATTTTCAAAATGGATGATGAAAAGGGAATAAATAAGAAATCTAAGTGATATTTCAGGAGTTTATCTATTTTCTTGAAAGTGGGAATCAATATAAAATAAGAGTCGAAGCTTGGAGATATACTGTGCAATCAATTTTAAAATATTCAGGGATTAATCCAAAAAAAGAAGATCAAGTTTAGAAAACAAAATACTTTTTAACTGACAATAAATGGTGAAATCTTTTAAAATAATAAACGTGTCTTTTTTTAAAACTTCGGTTAAAATGATCCGGACCATATGTTTTCCATTTGTGGTTTTTTATTATTCGAAACTTTTGTAAGTATGTCGTGGCTTGTCAAAAAATTTACGGACATTAGCCTCACTCTCTCCAAATCACATTGCAAGTAACTCTAGACTTTTGACACTAATACTTTGCCTGCCATTCATTGGCAATGGCAATGGCAATGGCAATGGCAATGGCAATAGCTTTGGCCATAGAACAGTACTCCCTTTGAGGGTGACGTCCCAAACTTCTCAGGATCACTACTATGCGCACCGACATAACTAGTTGGTCAATCTTTTTTTTTTATGTATATAAGAAACAAACAAATAGAAAAGGAAAATCAGTTTGGAGTATTCTCTCTTAAAGCTCCCTTTTCACATCCTCAAGGCCTCCAATATCTTCCAAACTGACATTAGGCACTTCCACAACTTGAGAAAAATGTAAGATATTTGACTCTCCACCATGGCGATTCAGGTAAGATATTAGTGATCAATTTGTTACTTTTTAAAATTACAGTAAAAAAACGAAAAATTACTCATACATTAGTGACCATCATTTGTGTAGTTTACCCTTCATTTTTATTGAAGTAAGAAAGTTCCAAATTTCTGTTCTAGGACATGCCCATCTTCTCGTTCTCCAAACAAGCTCTGAAAGGAAAATCCCAATAAACTCCGAAAAGAAGAGGGGTTGAAAAAGAGGCAGAAGTGTGGAGGTTTTAGCATTGGAACCAATGGCGATGACGACAGGGACGCAAAAGCAACAAGAGCAAGAACAAAAGAAACCAACGGAGAAAAGGAAGCCAGTGTTTGTGAAACTGGATCAGCTAAACCCAGGGACCAATGGCCACACCTTAATCGCCAAGGTCTTGTCGTCTAACTTAGTCCTTCAAAAGGGTCGACCTGCTTCTCAAAATCCCCGCCAAACCCGCATCGCTGAGTGCCTTATTGGAGACGAGACCGGCACTATCCTCTTCACTGCTCGTGATGATCAAAGTCCATTTTTTACCCCTTTTTTCTGTTTTATTTACATGTTTTATGCTTCACTGATCTGATCTTAATTTCTCTCAAAAGGGTACATTTTGTTTCGAACTTAGGCCGAAAGCTTTGATATTTCATTTGCACCGGTAGCAAATTGAAAGTTTTTCTTCTTCTTTGTTTTGTTATTGTAAGTAGGTGTGAGTATTTGATCGATGTGAGTAAAAACAGTTTGAGTTAGTCACGTCGACGAATATTATTTTATAATTCAAGTTTATTTAATTTTTTAAATCGAATCAAATTTATGATATTAAATCAACTTTTTATAATTATGTACAATATATATATATATATATATATATATTAATTATTTTGTATATTTATGATGTAGAGTTGAGATTCAAATTTGAAAACAAATTTACTAACTACTAAAATTTTCAAGTTATTTGAGTTCTATTTTATAATTTGGCTTGAATTTGAATTTTTTTGAATGAGTTTATAAATTTACGAGTCAAGTCAAAAAATTTGATTTTCGAGACGAATTTTACTTTCCTCCGATTATAAGTGTTGATTTGATTTAAATAATATAAGATCATAGCTTTCAATTAAGGGTTGCTTTCCCATCTTAGTTGCAAGTTGGTGGATTATATGTGAGATTGTCAACTGCTCACAACTGCAAAAGTTATGAACTCATTTTTTTGGTTATTGGTCTTTTGAAATTCTATAGGTTACATGGTTGTCTTGGGTTTTCTATCTTGTTCCTACATAAAGAAATCATTGAGAGAGAAACTTCGACCTGATCGAATTTTCATGGGGGATGATGTTTGTACCAGCTGAAAATGCAGCTCTAAACTCGAATGCAGTTTGATAATGATGTTTGAATCATTTTTGCAGTTGAGTTGATGAAGCCTGGTGTCACTGTAATTCCTCGTAATGCAAAGATCGAAATGTTCAAGGGTTCTATGAGGTTGGCTGTTGACAAATGGGGCCGAATCGAGGTCACCGATCCTGCAAACTTTGCAGTTAAAGAAGATAACAATCTATCTCTTATCGAGTACGAGTTGGTTAATGTAGTCGAAGACTGATACAAACTGCAAGGACCTCAAGTGATTAGCTTCAGAAGGAATTCTCGTGAAGTTGCCTAATGATTCATGTTTATGCCGCATAATGTCTGTGAGATGGATCAGGCTGAACAATTAGGACCTGCATTCTGAGATCATAGCTATATGCATATGATATCTATTCGTACGTTATCAGTTTATGCTATTGTGGTTGACCGAAATTATCCCCGTAACATTGTTCAGATCGGTTTTGGGAATCGGAATTGTTTTCAACATTTGTATCAGTTGTTCTGCCATAACATCATGTTTCCACATAAAATCTTATAATAGAGCCTATTGAATTTTCCTGGAGACGAACAGTTCACATTGTTTCAACCATAATCATCCATCTACAGAATCCGATAATGGAAGTGTAAAAACAATTCTAAGAATTAGTTACGATATATGCGTTTGAGGTGTTTTTATTGAGATAAAATTTTACTTGAATTTGATTGGATTTAACCTAATTTAAGATAATAATATAATTGTCCTATATATATTTAAGGATACTTACTATAATACATATCTCTATATATTTCAATTAAATTCTTCGTTTATCGAATAAAAATTAAAAATTATATTATATTGAATCAAATTCAATTTTTTATCCTGTAAGTTAGATCAAACAAGAGTATAACACTTTTGTCGAGTTAGCCAAAACCCGTCAACCCGAGCACATAACAGAAACATGAGATGTTTTATGCTCTTGAACCAGACCTCTTACTACCAAAAGCATATAAGTCCTTGTACAATATTATAAAAATGTATTTTGATTTCTATACCTAAAACTGAATATATATAAATCTCTGCATGTGAAAAAAAATAATAAAATAAAAAATTTAATAGAGATCGAATAAAGAAACTATTAATTTTATTAAGTGAATTTAATCAAACAATAACATATGAATTTAAAAATCTATTTGTAAATTATAATGAATATAAATATATAATATCACTTTGAAAATATCATTTTGTATTTTAGATTTAAAACATATGATTTAATTAAATTCATCTCACGAACTAACAAATTTTCAACCGTTTAAAAGAGAGGCCATAACGTAACCATCCTTAAGTGAAACCTCACAAAACTAAATCCTAACTTAACCCAGCCCATGACTATCCCCAAGTGAAACTAAAACTTTAAGCCCATAACATAAACATTTAGGCCGAATAATAAAAACAAAATAAACGACCACAGTGGGAGTCGAACCCACGACCAACAAACGCTGCTATTGAGCCATACCTCTTAACCGTTACCACCAAGAGCACGATAGAAAACGTATAAATCCTTGTACTAAAGTAAAATAAAAATTTAAGAAGAAGCGATTAATTTTACTAGGAGAATTTAATTAAACAAGATGATACTAACATTAAAATTTATTTGCGATGAACCTTAGTTTTTTTTTCTCTTTTTTCTTCAAGTGTTGTTTTTTCTTCTTCTTCATCTTTATAATCAACGGTGACACTAACTTTAATGTTGATCATCGATTGCCGATATTCATTATTTTTTCTTTATTTTATTATGTCATGTCTTTATTTTTTTAATTCTTAATAATTATACTTTTATGACATATTTTTCTGTCTTTATGTCACATTTCCTTTATCTTATAACATGTTTTTCGGTCGTTTGGTTGTATTTTTGTTTATATTTTTTCTTATGATTGGATTTGACATCGCCACAACTAATCAAGATGACATTTATTTGTTATCATAATGATCTTTTCTATTTTAGACATTTGAATTAAATTTGGATACACGATTTGCGTTTGTAGATCTTTTTCGTGATATATTTATTTGATTTATTACAGTTTAAAATTTTTAACTATAATAATTTAATTGACGAATAAAATATAAAATTAGATGGAATTAAATATAATTATTCGTTATTTTAAACTATAATAGATAGAACGAATGTGCCATTTCATTTACAGTTGTCCTCTCCTATTTTTAATAATCCCAGAACATTTTAAATTTAAAAATCACCATCATAGTTCTGATTTCATGGAGTGGATTTTGTCATGGATGCTTATGCAAACCTTCCAGATACTGATGTAGCATAGCAGATAACAATATCAAAGCATTCATTTTAGGGTTAAATCAATAAAATCGCACCGTTACATAACATCAACATACCTACATTTAACAAATAAAAAAAAATCCTAAATGTCAGTTTAAAATCAATATTCGAACAAAAGAACCTAGACGTAGGATTAAAAACTTCTTTCCTAAACTCAGAATTATCAACTAAATGTAGAGTACAAGAATTACCCTCTTACTGAAACAAACTGTTATGATTTCTGCAGAACACATTTCTCATATAGTGCAAGGATCTCTTTCTTGTTCAGATTCCGCAGCGCAAGTAACTCCGCACCAAAGTTATGCTTTGTGAGTTCTTGCTTAAGTTTCTGCATGGTGAACTTCGTATAATCTTCTTGATTGTTTTGCTGGTTCTGGCTGTCATCACCACCTTTGAATACTGACCCACCATCGCCTGATTGTGAATACAAGAGGGGGCTGGTTGTGCTCCTGGACTTTTTATTTGCTCTCAAAATTCTGTCACTCATGTCTATATCTTGAACAGATCCCACACCCATTTCCACATCATCTGCTCTCGATCTCTTTCCATGGGAAGCAGATTTGAGCTTACTATCCAATGCAGTTTCATTGAGCCGGACAGAAGTCAACTCCTGCTGGAGCGAATCAAGTTTTGATTGTGCAGCTTGCAGCTGATGAGAGAGAGCTTCAGCCCTCTCATTTGCATCTGCATGTGCCGCTCGTTCAGAGTCCAAAAGATCTTGAAGGACTTTAACTGTACTAGTCCTCTGATCATTGTTTGTTTTTAACAATGACTCAATCTCTTTCTCCCTCTCTTCAACTCTAGCTTCGAGTAATCCGACTTTCGACACTGCATCCATCTCTGACAAACGTATTCTATGCAGTTCATCCTCCAAGTCTGTTTTCTGTCTCACCAAGTTCTCGATTTGCCTCTCTGCCCTCTCAATCTGAGCCAATCTTTCCATTGCCATCCTTTGTATCTCACTTCTCTCCTTTTGGGCAGCTACTGCTTCTGCACGTGCCCTATCAGCCAATTCTGTTGCTCTCTTTGCTTCTTTCTCAGCTGCTCTAGACCTTTCTTCTACTTCTGCAAATCTCCTGAACTCGGAGGAGTACTTCTGCTCCAAATGGACCTTCTCCTGTTCCAAAATCTCAGCTTCTCTCTCAAATGAGAGGGCCTTGGAATTAGCATTTTCTAACTTATCAATTAACACCCTGATTTCAACCTTTAGAGACGACACTTCTGCATCATAACTGTTAATCTTTGCCTCAGCAGCCTGCAGATCATTTTCCATTGTTAAACACTGCAACCTTTAAGAATGTACTTAACCAATGTGAAATAAAGGTCTTGAGAAACGATGAAACAGAACTCAATAAAATTGAAAAATGAAAATGTATTCCTACTACTAAATCAGTCAGAATCATGTTTAAAGTTCAGTGACTGATAGAATGATCATTGTAAATCATAGCTGACAATTTATCAAGTAAAACCATATTCCAATGCATAACATATAGAATACATAAATAAAGATGTACAATCATATATGTACATCCATTAGAAGCTAACCTTCAACTCCAACTTCATAGTTGTCAAGCACTGCTCAGCATGTTCAACCTTTGCAGATTTTTCCTTTATTTCCTCTTCCTGCAACAAATTCATCAACATATAAACAAATCACATTTTCTTGCTGCATATTATAGATGCATAAAACATGATTAAGTGAACAAAAATATGTTTATGAATGTGAGGTGAAAAAGAGAGCACCTTATCAGCCAATGTATGTGAAAACTCTTCCCTCAAGGCATCTTCCCTAAGTTGAGTTTCCTTGCTTGACCGCTCTTGCACAATTGCTGCCTTCTCCAGAGCAGCTTTGGCCTCTCTAACAGCAAAGTCATACTTCCTTTTCCACTCTTCTGCCTCCTCTTGTGCAGACTCAGCTTGTTCTTTGGAAGCAGCCAGCCTAGCTTCAGCAGCGGTGCTCCGGGACTTGAGCACTTCAATTTCTGAGGTGGTTTGATCTTCTTTGGCTTTCTGCTTTGATAACGCCTGATCATATTTCCTTCTCCAGTCTAATGTTTCTTGCTTGGCAGAATCAAGTGCTTTTGTTAAACTAGAACATCTCTCTTTCAGTGAACTGTTATCACCTTGCAAATTATTCATACGGCTAGCATATTCATCAGCAAGTTTCTTTTTGTCATTGATAGCATCATCATATCGTTTCAGATATTCAGATTTGTATTTCTCACTATCCTCCAGTTGCTTGCCGAGTAAATTCATTTTATCCTCAATTGAACGGCATTTCAATACAAGGGAACTCTTCTCTGATCTGATCTGATCTATAAGCCTCTTGGTGAAATCCAGTATTGGCCCCTCCAAACTGTTTAAAAAGACAAAGTTACATTAATAGGGACTTAATCCCCAAAATACTTGGTGCAACCATATTAGTTTTAAAAAAGTTAAAAATATTGATTCAAACCTTTGCTGTAAAAACACAGCCAGTTTCTGCCATTTTCCAGGGCCATGACATAATGCGTCATACTCAGATAGAAGAGCATCAAGAACCTGCATATAACATTCTAATCAAACCCAGTGAAATGACATCCTTTGGTAAGGTAATAAATTGCCCAAAAGCAGATTGCTAGACTTAAATTGCCTCATTAACTAGCCTTCATCCTTACAATATTAATGATGTAAAATTTAAATCTGGAATATCGTCTCAATCAGTAATTAACGAGAAGAAAGTTGCACAACTAGGTTGTAGTCCTTTGCAAGAATAAGGACAAGTAGATGATGACCACTTACCTTCACAACATTATCAATACTAGCATCAGAAGCATGACATGCTGCTCTCAACCTCTTTCCCATGCTTTCTATGGCATTTGAACATTGCATATCTGCTTCCATAAATGCAATCCTTTTATAATCCTGCACAAATGACCAATCCCGTAATAGACTTAACATAGAAATAGACTTAACCTACATATGTAGCCCGAGTTACTGCATACCTCAAATGCCTTTCT